ATAATTTTATTTTTCCTAATAAAAAAAATAGATGCCATAGAGGTCAGTGTGTAGGGAAACATTGAGGCGAATTATGTGAAGGAGTCTTAAGCCACTTTGGATTAGTGGATCATCTGAATGACTAACTAGTTCCCTTGGTCTTTATTTTGCTCCTGTAGGAACAGCAGAAGAAAGCCGCAGCGTTACTGAGGGAGCCTAAAGCCGGTCCAGCCCTTCTGGAGGTCAAAGAGCACATCAGCTCCGTCCTGCAGCGCAGCGAAACACGCAAGAATGAACTGGACGTCCTGCTCAACCTCTATGAGTTCTACGAATCGGTAAAGAGATGTTTCTGGATTGCATTATGTTTAGTTAGCTGCATCATGTCAGCTGCTGTGATGATAATTAGTGGTCGACTGATATAGGTGTAAAATATAATTTAAAGACAACACAAGCACACCAACTGATGCAATTCAATTTATATTACATAATATTTACTAAAATAATTGGAAAAAAAATATTTGAAAATTAAGCTTTTTTTAAATCTTTTTTCTATTTTTTTAAGTAGTCATTTGAACTTGTTAAAAAAATTGTAAAATAAATAGATTTATATTAGATTTTGTTATTATCATTAACTAAAACTAAGACTAAAGCATTAAACATTTCATTGCTTAAAAAAAACATTAATAAACATTAACTGAACAATTTCAAAATAAAAGTCCCACCCACGCCACTTATCAGCCAAACAGAAAAATTATGCAATAATTAAAAACGCCAAATCTCGAGCACTGCTGATCATGTGTTAAACTGTGTCTCACGCAGGCGAACCAGTGGTTGCTCCACTGTCAGGAGTATTTCTCCCAGCTAAAGCGGGACGGTAACGCGCCCGGTTTGACGCCGGCCGTGCTGCAGGTCCTGCAGGACTATCACAGCGAGGCCACAAAGTTCTCTCTGGAAAACTTCAGCTCGCTCAACCAGACGGTGCTGAAGCTGAACAGCGCGCGGGAGCAGCAGCACTGGAGCAGCGTCTGGCAGCAGTGCCAGCAAACCAGGCAGCAGCTGGAGGAAATGCTGGCTGAAGCCCAAGCCCAAGACTCCGCTTCCGGTAAAACATCAGCACAGCCAGAAACATGAGTAATGCTAGAAATAATCAAACAAAAATAATCATCTTCATCTGTATTTTACTGTTGTTCTGTACAAAAAAATAATAATAATTAACATAATTGTTGTTGTTATTATTATTATGTATTATGTTATGTATTAATAATATATTTTTGCATTGATGATGATGATGATTATTATTATTAATATTATTATTATTATTATTATTATTATTATTATTATTATTATTATTATTATTATTATTATTATTATTCAATTGTTATTTTAGAGAATCATGTTATTATATTAGTAATATATTTCCTAATTGATTATTATTATTATTATTACTATTATTATTATTATTGTTGTTGTTATTATTAATTTTATTAAATCTCAGTTGTTTATTTTACAGTATAGTATTATTATTACAGGAATATATTAGTAATATATTTTTTCATTTATTATTATTATTATTATTAAATACTCATTTTTATTTTGTAGTATAGTACTATTATATATGTAATATGTTTCTTCATTTATTTTTTTGTTAGTAATATATTTTTTATTTTACAGTATAGTATTATTATATATCCATTGTTTATTATTATTGTTGTAATTATTGTTATTAATATTTTTTTTATAATTATTTTACAGTATAGTATTATTACATTAGTAATATATTTCCTCATTGATTATTATTAATATTAAATACTAATATATATATACTATACTAATGTAAATAT